GGATGGAAATCAGTCACCTCTGCTCACTGCCACGCAAGCCTCCGCACCAAGAGGGCACCACCCAGGGCCACAGCCCTGGATTTCACAGAGACCTTCCCCCCACCTCCCGGGTCTCCAGGCCCCAGACTCCAGCAGGTCAGGGCTTGGAGCCGCCCCGCCCCCGCCCCCCGACCTGCTACGTGAATCCCTTGTTCCCCAGTCCCATCCTGCGGCCACCAGGGAATTTGAGAGTTGAGATCCCTGAATATTTCATCGCCACCTCAGCCTTGGGTTGAAGCAACAGCCAACTTCGAGCTCATAGATAATTTATGGCCCCGGCAGAGCACCCGGAAGTGGTGAGGGGGAGGGGTAGGGGGCGTGGGGCGGGGTGAAGTCCAGCCTGGGCCGTGCGGAGGGTGCTGGAGAGAGGCCAGGTCTGTCCGAAGTGTGTGTGTGCTTATGTGTGGAGGGGGCGGTGCTCCAAGGCCTGGGACAGTTCCATTTTTGAGGATACCAATGTATTACCAAAAAAAAAAAAAGCAAAACCCCACAACCACCACCAACCAGGTTTGTCAAAATAATTGTACTAAAAGTTAAAGTCATGAGACAAGCATTTTCTGACTTCATTCCTATCCCCTGTCTCTGTAACTGTGAGCATAACCTCATTTGGAGATACCAAAAGCTTTTTTTTTTTTTTTAAGATTTTACTTTTAAGTAATCTCTGCACGCAATGTGGGGCTCAGATTTACAACCCCGAAATCAAGAGTCACCTTCTCCTCTGATTAAGCCAGCCAGGCGCCCCCCACAAAAGCTTTTTTTTTTTTTAAGATTTTATTTATTTATTCATGAAAGACAGAGAGAGAGGCAGAGGGAGAAGCAGGCTCCCAAGGAGCAGGAAGCCCAACGCGGGACTCGATCCCAGGACCCTGGGACCATGACCTGAGCCGAAGGCAGACGCTCAACCATCTGAGCCACTCAGACGCCCCACAAAACCTTTTAATGGAATGTCCTTCATGGCTGTGAGGTCTCTAAAAGGCCCCCTGCTCCCTACACCCACCAGGGCCGGGGAGAGAGGCCAGACTTGCCACTCAGACTGGCTGAACTGCGCTCCTTCCTAGCTTCCTCCAGGAAGGCCACCAGGATTTAGCCAAGGGGTCAAGGGAAAAGGAAGGCATCTCACGTGGCCATTCTTTACTGTGCTCCAAGAACATAATATCCCACTCTTCTCCTAAAAGGAAAGATGAAAAAAGTGACCCAAATGGAAAATGTCAAGTTCTTGACTCTTCATTGGGAGTGACTTACCTTAGTGAGTTCTTCCCCAGATTGAGAGGATTAAGTATATGTGTGTGGGGAAGGGGCAGTAAAAAAGCAGGCACGTTCTCCCCCTTACCTCAGTTTCCCCACCTGAGTCATGGGTGTGAGAGGTGTTCCCACCCCAAGGCCTGTTTGGGGGACAGAAGAGATGCTATCCAGGTGCCGTGGCGCCAAGTGGAACCCAGGCAGATGGTGATTACAGGTGATGTGTCCACAGGTCGGCCTGGGGCTGGCTCTGGTGGGCAGTCCCAGGCCCCCACATACTCCCACCTAATCCCTGAGTCATTTTGGGGCTAAGCCAGCCTTCTACACTCTTTGGGCCTCAGTTTCCCCATCCATGAAGGTGGGGCCATCTGCCGGGGCTATCCTTGGGGAGAAGTGGGAGAGCTGGATGAAGACCCCAGAGTGGGGAAGCTGCAGGGGGCGTGGGCCCTGCAGCTGCTAGAACTTCTGCAGTCAGGTTATGCTGCTGGCATGGTGCCAACTGGACACAGCCTTCTGACCCAGAGAAGGGGTCTCTCTCTGTCCCCAGGGGAGACCCTACTCTCCTGGAGAAAGGGGAACACCAGGGTGAGACTTTAAGAACTACTGCTCAAACCTAAGGGGGGATTTCTTCCATTAGAATTTACTGGAATTTTGGAAGAGCCTGTAGGACTTTCCCCCTCCACTGGCCCTCACTTCTCAGGATTCAAGAAGGTGCTGGTAAGTGACCCCGGCAAGTCTGACCCAGGCTCCCTAACATGGGCCCAATTCCATGGAGCCGACAATGGCGGGAGGCAGGGGAGGGCAGGCTCTGGAATTGGGCCCGAGATGCAGAACCTGACTGCCTGCTTTTCCTTCCGCTCCCTACCCCCTTCTTCCCTCCCTTCTAGAACTCCTTGCCTCCCTCAGAAGGCTGCAGCAATGTGGGGGCTCTGTCCACACATCTAGCCCCAAAGCCAACACCTTTCTCTGAGCAGCATCGATCTGGGGGAGAAGTTTCAAACCCACCTCAGCCACCACGCAATGTGAGGAACCTGGGACAAGTTGCTTCTCATTCCTCAGCCTCACCTGGAGCAGAGGAACTGAGGCCTATGTCACAAGAATGTTTAAGACCAAGTGCCCAGCATATGGTAGGTACTCGGTACACTGTAGTAGTGAAGCTTGCTTCAGGACGGGGTCTTTCTGGGTCCGGGCACCTCTGTGGCTTCTGAACCTGGCCCTGTTGTGTAAGGTCGCCATCCCCAGTCCCTTTTAGGCCTTCCCTAACCTTCTACCCATTATACTACAGATGCCATGAGGTGCTGGGTGGGGTGTTGGGGGGCGGGGTATGGAGGGACCAGGTGAGACAGATGTGGAGGAGGCAAGGGTGTCTGCAGTGGGTGGGGTTGGGAGAATGGGCTGGAGGGCCCACACTGGGACTCGGTCTCACCGGTTTGGGGACCTGGCCTGGCACTGGGGAGACGCTGGTATCAGGGAGAGGGGGGAGGGGTGGTGGCTGCCTAGAAGAGGAGAGCTGAGTAAGGGAGGGACACGGGGCTGCAGGGCCTGGGCGAGGGCCTGCCCGTGGGGAGACGGCCCAGGCCGGGGCTGGCATTCTGCCCCCGGGGGATGCCCCCCTCACACACACTCTGTCTCATCACCACACACACAGAGATGCCACTCTCAGCTGCACACTTAGACACACACCACAAGCTTCTGAAATGGCATCCCCTCAGCCCTCCCCGTCCCTCCTCCCCCGCTCTATTTTTCTGTCTGATTTATCACACTAACCGTATAATTTATTATAACATTTTTTAAAATATTTTATTTATTTATTTGAGAGAGAGAATGAGATAGAGAGAGCATGAGAGGGGGGAGGGTCAGAGGGAGAAGCAGACTCCCTGCTGAGCAGGGAACCCGATGAGGGACTCGATCCCGGGACTCCAGGATCATGACCTGAGCCGAAGGCAGTCGCCCAACCAACTGAGCCACCCAGGCGCCCTATTATAACATTTATTGTCGGGCGCCTGGGTGGCTCAGTTGTTAAGCGTCTGCCTTCAGTTCAGGTCATGATCCCGGGGTCCTGGGATCGAGCCCCACGTCGGGCTCCCTGCTCAGCGGGAAGTCTGCTTCTCCCTCTCCCTCTGCCCCTCCCCACTGCTCCTGTGCTCTCTAATAAATAAATAAAATCCTTTTAAAAAAATAACTTTTATTGTTTATTGCAGGTCTCTCTGCTGGGAGGCAAGCTCCATGAAGGCAGGGTGCTTGGCCTGCTTTGCCCACTATTGTATGCCCAGCACCTACAGTGTGCTTAGCACATACTAGGTGCTCAATAAATACGTGCTGGGTGAGCGAACCCCTCCAGAAACACATTCACGAAGGCCTGCGCGGTCATGGAGCCATGTGAAGAACCATGCTCGGTCACCCGTGAAACTGCCACAGACATTCTCAGACACACGCACACAGACCTTCTTGCTTCTGCACACACACCCTTTCAGACTCACACCCAGCTGTCCAGATTCCAAAGCTCCTACTCACAGCAGGCACGCTCCGGCACATCCCAGCTCCCCAGCCCCTCCCAGAAACGGGGCGGGGCGTCAGTGGAAGCTGACTACACAGCAGCTAGGAAGGGGTGGGGTGGGGCAGGCCCACTCTGGCACCTGCGAGACGCTACCGCTGCGGACCCACCTACAGGAGAGAGGGAGTGAGGTCACCGGTGCCCTCAGCCTTGACCCAGACCTGCTGCAGACTGACTCTGGCCTCCCTGTCCTCGTCCCCACCAGAGACCCAGGGGTGGGGTTTGGGGTGAGGCAGAGAGTCCTCCTGGGCACAGAGATGGGGAGGGCCCAGGCCAGGTCACCTGGCATGTGTGTGGGGAGGGCAGGGGTGCGGGCTTCCCAGCATCTGCTCCACCCTCAGATAGGAAGAGAAGCCTCCTACACCACCCTGCCCCCTGGGAGGCCTGAAACATGGGGAGTCGGGCAGAACTGTTACCCGCCTGGTCCTGGCCCAGGGTCCCTCTCCAAAGAGGCCCCTTTCCCCCACCTCCCCCCGTGGAACATGGGGGAGGACACGGGTGCATCACGGCACTGAACAGTAGCCACCTGGCATTACCCTCACCTCTGCACCTCCAGACTCTCTGCCCCCTAGAGCTGATGGAAGACTGGGCAGGAGGATCTGGCAGTCCCACTGCCACCACGAGGTCTCATGTTATCAAACTGTATGCCTAGGGCCCCTCTGGCTGCTGAGATGGAGCCCCAACCTCTGCTGAAGAATGGGAGAAGGGGCAGAGAGCAGGGCAGGGAATGCTTGCTCAGCCCCTCGAGAACCTGGGTCAGGAAATGCCTAGAAAGTAACAACCGGAAATATCCTTAGCCCCCTCCCCATGCTCACCACACTCCCCGAGGGAAGCAATGGTGAACCAGGAAAATATAGGAAATCTGAAACCACCTTCCAGCGACTGCAGAAGGAACTGCATGCTCTCGCCCCCTGGCGGACGGATCTGCAATTGCACTCTGCTCTCAAAAAAACCCGCCCAGAGTCCCCTGAGGCCAAACTGTGCCCCCTTGCCCACCCCATATTTACACAGGAGGGGAGATGGACGCGGAGAGAGGGAACGACCCGCACCCTCAGCCCAGGGGAGACTGGACCCCAGGTACTGCAATTCATTCAACAAGAAACATTTATTGAGCACCCACTGCCAGTGAGCCGGGAACCACTGGACTCTGGAGCGCTCTTCATAATATCAGCGGCCCCTCAGCTGTCTCTGAAATCCAGGCTGAGACCCAGCTTGGAGGAGCAGGAACCTTCTCCTCCAGGAGACTGTCCAGCTGAGGAGAGCACCGGGGAGGAGGATGGGCCGTCAGCAGCTGGAGCACCACTATCCTGTGGCCCAGAGACCCTGAGACCTGGGGAGCAGTGCTCACAGGTGGGATGGGATGGGGCCTGGTCAGCTATGTCCGTTGTACATTTTTAATAAATAGTTCTTGCTGCTGCCCAGGCTGGTGAGGGCGGTATCACTGGGCTCAGGTTTCCCCAGCTCTTGAGGGGTGCAAGGGTGGCCCTCTCATGCTAGTTCAGGCTCCAGCTCTGGAAGGGAAAGGAGGGAGCCCCGGGTTAGCCCCGCACCCACTCCCAACAAGCATCTGGGCGCTGTCCTGGGGGCATGGGGGCAGGCAGGAGGGAGGCTCCCCAGGGCAGGTCTCAGCGGGGTCCCAGCTCCAGAGAGGATGCCACCCCCTCACACACAAGGTGGGACAGGGTTGGCTAACAGGCTAGAAGCCCCCAGAGGAGAGGTCCCCACACCCCAACTGCCTCTGCCGTGCAGTACACGGATCCTTCTGTGGCCAACCTCCACCCCGGGTGGCAGCCCCGCTCTCCGCCAGCACTCGAGTCACTGACCGGCCTCTGCCTCGTCACCCTTGGCATCCGGCTCCTGCCACCAGTCAGCATAGATGCCCTCCTCGTAGTCCCCCTCCCCCTCGAACTCGGCGTCGGATGGCGGGTCCTTGGGTTCCACGGGAGGCACTGTCTCTTCAAGCTCCATCTAGAGCAGCCCCAGGGTGGGGAGGGAAATGAGGTCACAGCAGGTGCAAACCCAGACGGGCTCCCTTCCTGGATGAGCCCCCCATCCCATCTCAGCCCCCAAAGGCCCTCCTTCCCCAGTCTCAAGATCCCACCAGGGACTGATCTGAGGGTTTCTCCCACAAGGTCCCACTCCCAAACTGCCGCTCCCAGGACCGATGCTCCCCCAGCAGAGAGTCAATGTCAGCTAAGCGTTCCCTCGCCAAGGCCCTCCTTTAAAGCATGAATTCCACAGCAAATGCTGCTAGTCCATACATACTGTGTGCTCATGCGGTTTCCTGGCCAGGAACATGATTACCTCCCCCACCACCACCCCGTGCCTGGGTAATGCCTGGACCGCTCTTGTTGACCTCACCAATGCCAGGCGTCAGCTCCAGGATGCAACCCTGGCCGAGGAGCCCAGTTAGACCTGGAGCCCTCCTCTGCTGGCCCATGCTGACCTCTCCTGAGCTGGTGCCTCCCCTACTAGACCGTGAGCTGCTTGGGAAAAGGACTCTGCCTTTCATCAACTTGCCCCAGGGCCGCACAGTGTCTGGCAAACAGCAGGCCACGAATAACAGTAAACAAAACGGCACCATTCACTGAGCATCTGTACTAAGTGCTTTCCATACTCAATCTCATTTCATTGCCACCACAATGGTGCGACGCGGGCATCATCCTCCGCATCCGAGATGCAGGAACGGAAGTTCGAGAGCTACCTAAGATTTGCCTGGAGGCTGCCCACCCAGTAAGTGGCGAGGCCAAATCAGGCTGTTGCCAAAGTCAGGGTGCAAACGGTGTACCACCTGCCCCCCTATGTGACAAGTAGTAGGAGCATGGGTGAGTGAAAGAAGGGGGTAATGAATAAATCAGCACTGAGCACAACACCTCACTGAAATTCAGACTCTCAAACCCTCATTCAGAATCAAGGTACCACACTGTAGTCCTTCCTTCCTGGTATCCTGCATTCATTCATTCGCTGGTTCATTCAAACTCCGTTTCCCCACACCAGCTCTGTGGCAGGTGCTGTGGGAAAGCTGGGAATAACCTGGTCCCCCGTCCCAGAGCACAACCCTCTGGGAGACTGGACAGAGAAGGGGGCTGGGGGTGGGGGGGGGAGAGGGACCAGGGCTGCAAATCACTCCAGGTCCGGGGAGGCATAGAGGGTCAGAACTGGCACTGCAAGCCCAGAAGACAGAGCCAGGGCATGCAGGGAGGGCTTCCTGGAGGAGTTGCCCCTTGAGCTGGGCTGGGGAGTTATTGGGCAAGACACGTAGAGAAGGGGAGCATGAGAACACTGAGCGGGGAGAGAAAAGCAGGTATAGATGAGGGACACTGAATCTCTCCTGCTTCACAGCAGTTGAGTGCCAAGAGGTGGGGCCGAGGTTTGGCACAGTGCCCCCCCCCCGGAAGAAGATCAGGGGTCTCCATCATGGCCCAGCCTAGAGAGCAGGGGGCCGCTTACCTCATCATCTGACTGCAGGTACATATGTGCAAACTCCAGCAGCTCCTGAAGCTCAGTGGTCTGGTTGTGGTAGAGCATGGCCTCCTGAGAGGAGGGGAGGAACATGGGGTAAGCCAGACCCTGCTGCCAGGTGGGGGAGGAGCCACATTGTTAGGATCTGGGTCCTCCCACCCTTTTTCAGCTCAAAGAGCAGGGAACAGGTATCAGCTCACAGGCTGGTGGGAAAAAAAATCACAGCTGCTTGGAGTGCCTGGGTTAAGGAGGATTCTGAGGACTCTTAGAAAGAGTTCCCTAATCCATCAGCAATGTCTGCCACACGTAAGGAAATTGAGGGTGGCACCATGTGCCCCATGACTGCCAGTCTTGCCCTAGATTCCCAGGGGTTCCTCAGCTGGTCCAAGCTAGGGGGTCCCTGGGGAAGAAGGGCAAAGGCCAGCGGTGAGAGTGACCAGGGTGGGGCGGGGAGCAGGCAGGGATGGACAGGTATTTTGGGCCTCCCACAGCCCGGGCTCTGTGCTGTCACGGTAGGTGGTACCACTCCCATTTTGCAGGTGAGGCCACATATTCAGAAAGGATCAGTAATGTTCCCAGGCCCATTCAGCTGGTGGGACTGGCTTTGAACCCAGGACTCCAACCACAACCCACAAGTCTTTCTTTTCCCTTCCTATCCTGCCTTCCAAAGAAGCCAGGATTTTTTTTTTATTATTATTATTAAACTGAGAGTGCCTCCAAAGGCAGAGCCCACCTCCCGGGGCTGGAAGTCCTCCTCCTCCAGGCCCCAGCGAGCCCGGTGGAAGCGGTAGTACACCAGGTTCTGCTGCATGACGCTATCCTCGGGGTCGAAGAGCATGTAGCTGGCGGCGCTGCGGGCGGCCTGGCGCACGTCGTTCACTGCAGGCAGGACAGGAGTGAGGAGTAGTCCTGGCGCCTCCCCACCTTCAGGGACAATGCCTTCCTAGCCCATCCCTATCTCCCAACTCAGTCCAGTGCTCCTGGCTCCCCAGCTGCCTCTCAGGAGATCTTTTGGCCACCTCACTGCACCCAAATAATAATGCAAGCTAGAATGTACTGGGAACTTGCCATGTGCCAGGCCCATGTAATTCATTTAAGCCTCACCGTTATTATCATTCCCACTTTATAGACAAGAGATCTGAGGCACGGAGAGGTTAGGGAGATTTTTCAAGCTGACACAGCTGGAGAATAATGGCACTGGGGAATGAGAGCCCAGCAGCCTGGCCCTCAACCTCTCTGCCAACTGGACCCATGAAGGGTCTCCTGGCCCCTTGGTCCTTAGCTCCTCCGCTCCGACTCCAGCCTCCATACGAATCTTGGCATCTTAGCATTGCAGGAACACTGGAGATCATCCATCCCAGCCCCAGCTGATGCTCAGGATCTCCCCCAGACAAGAAGAGCCATAAGTCCTGGTGCTACTTATCATCAGTCATGTGACTAGTGGCCCCATTGCACTCTATGAGCCTCAGCTTCTCATCTGAAAAATGGCTCCAGTCATGTCAGCTGCCAGGAGTGGGGGGGCTGGTAAAAGCATCAAGTGAGATAAACAGACGTGGCAGGGGTGTGTAAACTGTGAAGTGCTGTGCAGTTGTTGGCTACCCAGTCATTTACCCAAGAAGTCCCTGAATTCTCCCAAGGCTGCTCTCTGTTCCTTCCCACCCTCTCACCTGTCCGCCAGCTCCAGGCTTCCCTCCCGTCACCCAGGGTGCTCACTTCCGAGCAACGGCTCGCCACGACTCTGACACTCCCAGGGCGGTGCTCCCCCCCCCACACCCGTCCCAAGCCCACTGGGGGGCTCACACTTGTAGTAGGCAAACTGCAGGTAGTGGTACATGGTAGCCACAAACTTCTCCACGAAATAGCCACCCACGTTGGGGGTCAGGTTGGCCTCACAGTCCACCTTGCACTGCAGGGACTCTGCAAAAAGATCTAGGGGGCGGGAGGCAGTGGTGAGGAGCTGGTGCCCAGCCAGCCGGTGCGATCCCAGGAGGTAATGCTGGTGGAGACTTTGCTCAGCATACTAAGGGCAGTGCTAAGGACGACTGGGCCAGGGAGGACTTATCACCCCCTCGACTCAACCCCCACCCCAAAACCATAGGGAGCTGGGGCATTCTGAGGCAGACAAGGTTTGGAGGTGGGACTGAAGCCTAGATAGGGAAGCTCAGGACAGTCCTCTGTGCCCCCCCTGCTGAGGGACCCCACAGTTAGGGATCCCCAGACTAGGTGTGATTTCTGGCCACAAACTGCCTTCTGCACACACCACCTTGGCACCTTTGCCCTCTGCCTGGAAGGCCTGTGAACCCAATGTCCCCAGACCCTTTGGGGATGTCACCACCTCTCTGCACCCATACCCACACCTTGGCCAGTCAGGACTGTGGCGGGTCCCTCTCAGAGGACTGAAGGCTCCCGGAGCGGGTTAACATCTTACTCCGGTCCACCTCCCAAGAGCTTCCTCCATGCTTCATGAAAGTGTACGGGAGGCATACTTGTGCTAAGGGGCCTTAGGAGTTCTGGGAAGCAGGGCCCTGTGGGTGAGAGGGACATCCACAGGGATTTGCAGGGACTGGGGAATACCTGCAATGGCCGGGTAGAAGTCCTTGAAGTCCACCTGCTCGTGCGCCCCCTCGCAGCTGGCCAGACACCGGGCAAAGACTGCCAGGTACTGGGCCAGGGCCCGCTCCATGTCCTCCGTGCTGCTTCGGAAGTCCCCGCTGTTGTAGAGCTTCACAGCCCTGAGGAACACGGCCTGGAGGGGAGCAGGTAAGGGTCAGGGAGACGCCCCAACACCTCCCCTCCTCTACAAGCGTCAGGGCCAGCCCCACCCCTCCACCCCACCTCGTAGGGCTGCGCCTCCAAGTCTGTGAGCGGCTCGTCGGCGGCGTCTAGCAGCCCCCGGTAGTAGCTGAGATACTTGGCGGTTAGCTCGTGCTTCGGGTTCCTCTGGAGGAAGGTGTAGGCCGCGGCTGCCGCCTTCTCCAGCCGGTTAGCCTGTGCGGCGGGGACAGAGGGGGTCGGAAGGGCCAGAGCCTGCAGCCCGGAGCGCACGAGCGGGCTTGGCTGTCCCGGGTTGTGCGACCGACTCTGCTCCCGACCGGACAGAACCCTACGCCGGCCCCGAACCACGCGCCCCAGCCGGGCCCCGGGGGCGAGGCAGGGCAGGGGCGCCGGGGGTGAGAGGCGGAGGCATGGTTGGTGGCGGAGGCGAGGCGAGGGAGGCTCTGGGACTTGGGGCGAGGCGGGCCTGGGGGGGGCGCCGGCGCGAAGGAGGGGGCGGCGGGACAAGGGCGCTGTGAGGGGGACTCCGGGACGGGGAGCTCGGCGAGACAGGGGGCGCCGGCAGGGGCCCACCTTGAACAGCGCGTAGTGCAGGTACTGGTAGGGCAGGCGGCTCTGGAAGTCGCGCAGCAGCTGCCGCGGCGGGTAGGGCACCTGGAAGGCGGGCAGCGTCCGCTTGCAGCGCCGCAGGCAGGCGGCGCGTTCCAGGACGTGGCCGAAGAGCTGCAGCTCGCGGGCCCACTCGTCGCCGCCGCGGCCGCCGTCGGGACCGAGCGCGGGCGCCAAGGGCGAGGCCGCGGGCGGCGCGGGGCCGCTGCAGTTGGCGTGGCAGAAGGCCTCGCTGTCCCGCAGCAGCCGGTGCAGCCGCAGCGCCGCCTCGAGGTACCGCGCGCTCTCGCGCCAGCTCTCCCCTTCGTACTGCTCGAGCGCGTGCCCGTAGGCTGCGGCCAGGGGCATCAGGTCCTCGGGCGGGAAGCCCCGGAAGCTGTACTTTTCGTACTGCGCCGCGGCGCTGCCCAGCAGCAGCCACAGCAGCCCCCACGCCGCCCGCCCCATGGCCGCGCCGCGCCGCGCCGGCCGGCTCTCCCGGGCGGAGCAGGCGTCAGGGCAGGTCGGGCGGCGGGAGCGGGGGCCGGGCGGGCGCGCCCGCTGGGTCTTAGCGCCGGGCACCGGAGAGCGGGGAGCAGGAAGGCGGGGTCGCGGTCTGGGTCAGCTACCCCGAGGGGCAGAGGGCCGTGGTGTCCTGAGTCCCCTACGTTGGCCGACCTCCTGCTCTTGGGGGTCTTCCGCTTGACAGATGGTAAGTGGGTGGAGGAACGCTTCCCGCAGGGATGGGAGTCCGCAAAGCCCCTCCCCACACAAGGACAGTCCCCCACCTTAAGATCAAGTAACTGAGGGAGCCCCGCCTCCTCCACTCTGCCTAAACCCTGGCACCCGGTCTTCTTTCCATTACAGGGTACCTTCTGCTTCTTCTCAGCCCCTAGCCCCTAAGAAGTCACTCCTAGTGTCCCCTCCCCGCTCCCCCCACCCCACGCCGGTCCGCTACGGGGAGGCGCACACCTGGCTTCACCCGGCACACAGCACCCTCGCCGCCGCCCACGCATCTCCACCCCCGCGCGGGAGAGGCTTGGCGGTCCAGCTTTTTCAAGCCGCCGCAGCTCGTCCCTGGAGAAGTCATCCCTGGGACAGTGGGGGGTGGGGTGGGGCGGGGGGAATACCAAGATTCTGGAGCCCCACCAGCCACCTGGAGAGGCCTAGATTTGGGGGGTGCCTGCGAAAGAAGCAAGGGATGCTTCAGCCCGGCTTTAGGACCCGGGGGCCCCGGAAAAAAGTCGCTGAACTTTTTTTTTTTTTTTTAAATGGGAGTCAGCTCCGACTTCTCGGCTTTCCCGAACCTCCCTCCCTGGCCGGGCCCCTGGACGCCGAGCCCCGGGAGAGCGGGAGGAGGGAGCTGCAGTCCTTTGTGGTGCATTCCTGTGACTCCAACGCTCAGCCTCGCCCCCTCCTCCTATTCCACCCTCCGTCTCCCGCCCCCCGCCCCGCGCCAGCTCAGTCTCCCCTGCCCCCATTCCACGTGGACCCGCCAGGGCGGGGGTGGGGACGGAGGACAGGAAGAGGGGGAGCCTGCTCCGGGAAGAGGGGGGAAGAAGGTTGGCGGCGGCGACTCCCTCGCTCGCCCTCACTGCCGGCCGTCCCAGCTCCAGGCACCATGTTCCGCGCGGTGTCCCCCAGCCACACCTTCCTCGGGCTCCCCCTGCTGCAGTTGCTGCTGCTGCTGGTGCAGGCCGTGGGGAGGGGGCTGGGCCGTGCCAGCCCGGCCGGGGGCCCTCTGGAAGATGTAGTCATCGAGAGGTACCACATCCCCAGGACCTGTCCCCGGGAAGTGCAGATGGGGGATTTTGTGCGCTACCACTACAACGGCACTTTCGAGGATGGCAAGAAGTTTGACTCGAGGTAATGGGTTGGGTGCCCCCAGACTCGCCACTCCCCTCGGGGCCAGGCTCTCCTAATCCTGGGGATCCCTTGTAGCCCCTTAGGCTGTGTCTGTATCCCCTACTCCATGGTCTTCTAACCCCTAACACAGCACCTTGGGGATGGGGACTCCCAGACATCCATCTTCCCAAAGACATCCTTGCCCTGGATTTCAAACCCTCACCTCTCAAAGGACCCCAGTTTCTTTTACAGCAAGCTCCCCATTTTCCCCAAAGTGTTTGATGATCAAGGTGAACTGCTCTGTTTACTTACCGGTGCTTTACTTAAAGGCCTGGCAGGGAGGAGGTTCTGGTCCCCAGTGTTGGGGGGAAGGGCATGGCCCCTGCTGCATGTGAATCCTCCAGGGGTCTCAGTCTGGGACTCCCGCCCTTTCTACCAGCCTGAATCCCTTCTGGTTCCAGCCCCAGGGTCTAGTGCCTTTGTAACCAGAGAACAGGCAGTAGAACCTTTTTGGAGGCGGTGGGGGTTAGGAGAAGCTAGCGTAGTAGAGCTGAGGGAGCATTGTAATAAGACAGCAGGACGGATCCAGGAGTGTAGGGCATAGCTCTGTGTAGGGATCCTATCTGTCTACGTGTCATATGGCCGGGCATTGACTCCCTGGGCTCCTCGGAGGGTTCTCTTACGTCTCTCCGGGTCTTCCTGCACCCCCACCTTCCTCCATCTTAGCTCTATCAGGCCAGGGCTGTCGCCCATCTTGCCAGCCTTGGGGTTTGAGATGGGTTTCTGGTCTGATCAGGCCTTTGGTCTGCTCTGGCAAGTCACTTTTGTTGGTGGAGGCAGGGCAGGGCTGCATACCAACCCTGGTTAAACCTTAGGTCCCAGTCACATACCATATCCCAAGAAGTCAGTCCCTCTTAGACCCCTTCCCAAAACACACAACTCAGCCCACAGGAAATTAGTGGCCTTGGCTTTGGAAGGCAGGCAGGCAGTATATTGGGTAAGAACATGAACTCCAGAGTCCAAGACACTGGGTTCCAATCCAGCCTGTGACCATGGACAAGGAATTTTGCCACTTTAAGCTTCATGTTCTTTATCTGAAAAATGGAGGTTCAAACAATCTGGAAAATTAAGTCCTCCCTTCCTAAGCTGATAACCGGGCTCAAGTAAGATGATGAATGAAAGCAAACTTTGTGCAGTGCCTGCCAATCCAAAAGCCAGTTGAGGGCCTATTAGCCTTGACTGTGGGGAGGACTGGGTGCTGTGTTTGTTTGTTTGTTTGTTTTTTTAAGATTTTATTTATTTATTTGACAGAGAGAGAGACAGCAAGAGAGGGAACACAAGCAGGGGGAGAGGGAGAGGGAGAGGGAGAAGCAGGCTTCCCGCCAAGCAGGGAGCCCAGTGCAGGGCTCGATCCCAAGACCCTGGAATCATGACCTGAGCTGAAGGCAGATGCTTAATGACTGAGCCACCCAGGCGCCCCTGGGTGCTCTGTTTTTAATTGGTAGAAATTTTGTGCAGGCTTGGGCCCTCACAACAGCACTGTGAAGGAAGAAGCTCAGTGGGCAGAATGAGGTATGGCCCGTGACCAGGAGTACAGCCCAAGTCAGGGAGGGGTGGGGAGCAGGGGATGACTTCTTTGGTGGGACTCTGGGAGCCTAGCTGGCCCCAGTTCATGCAGTGCTGAGCTTGGAAAACTTTCCTAACCCATGGTTCTTAACCCCTTTGATCAAAATAAAAATCTCGGGGCACCTGGCTGGCTCAGTTGGAAGAGCATACAACTCTTGATCTTGGGGTCATGAGTTCGAACCCCACATTGGAGGTAGAGATTACTAAAAAAAATAAACTAAAAAAAAAAATAAAGTGATTTAAAATTTTTTTTTAAATAAAAATCTCCGGAGGCGCCTGGGTGGCTCAGTCGGTTAAGTGCCTGCCTTCAGCTTAGGTCATGATCCCAGGGTCCTGGGATCGAGCTCAGTGAGGATCCTGCTTCTTCCCCCTCTGCCTGCCACTCAGCTTGCTTGTGCTGTCTCTCTCTGTCAAATAAGTGGAATCTTAAAAATAAATAAGTAAATAAATAAAATAAAAAAATAAGTTTCCCATCCTCCCTTAACTTCTGAAAACTGAAAACAGTAAGTAAAAGCAAATAAAAGTCAAGAGGTACAAACTTCCAATTATAAAATAAATCTATCACGGGAAAGCATGGATAGCACAGACGACAGTATTGAATTAACTTTGTGTGGTGACAGATGCTGACTAGATTTATTATTCCGATTTTCTCGTAATGTATGTGAATGTCGAGTCCCGAGGTTGTACACCTGAAACTAATATCATCTTGTATGTCAATTATACCTCAATAAAAAAAATAAAGTAAAAAAACAAATAAAGGCCACAGCAATTTTAAAACAGGCCTTTCCAAAATTGGAAACCAGTCCCTATCCTCAGCGAGCCCTGCTGCCCCCTCCTTTCCTGGGAAATTGATGGTGTGGCGGCCCAAACACGGAAGTCAGTTGACCACGTGTTAGCCGTGTGACCTTGGGCAAGTCAGCTAGTCTCTTGTCCTAATCATTGTCATGAGAAAAATGAAAACCCTAACGCCCACATCACAGAACGCAATAAGGCGGCGCATGTACAAGGCCGAGGATTTCATCTGGCTCGTCGTACATGCTCAGTGGTCCTCTGCCCCTTGGTGCCATACTTCGCCCTCCGCAGCTGCTAGCAGTTGGTAGTAGCACACAGGCCTGCGCAGACCCCCGCCCCCTGCACCCCCCCCCACCGTGGCCCCAGGCAAATAAAAGCCCCTGACCTCCCTCGGGGGCTTCCCTGTGTAACAGCCCCTCCTCTTGAGCGGGGAGGGAGGCTCGAAGAGGAGACAGGAGCATGTAGATGCACACCTGTAGCGGGAGGGGGACTGAGTGTGTGCGTGCACCTGTGCGTGGATGTGGCCTCCAGAGGCCACGTGCGTGCACCTGTGCGTGGATGTGGCCTCCAGAGGCTGCTGTGCCCCATCTGTTTCCTCCCTCCCGCAGCTATGACCGAAGCACCTTAGTGGCCATCGTGGTGGGCGTGGGACGCCTCATCACCGGCATGGACCGGGGCCTCATGGGCATGTGTGTCAACGAGCGGCGACGGCTCATCGTGCCCCCCCACCTGGGCTATGGCAGCATCGGTGTGGGTGAGATGGGGTGGGGCCCAGGCTGGGGATGGAGGAGACCAGGAAGCAGAATCAAGGGCCTCAGGTCCAAAAAACAAGCTCAGAGTGGGAGAGTGACTTGCCCAAGGTCACACTGCACATGCAGCATGAGTCGGGGCAGGTCTGGGACTAGAGTTTCAGTCTCCTGCCCCTGGAGTGGGAGGAAAGGAAATGACAGGGCCCTGGGTAGAATCAAAGCTTGACTGGGGAGAAGGGGACCTAGGGGTGGTGGAGCGGGTGGCCGAGCGAGACGTTCAAATGTCCATACAACCTGCCACGCTGGGGCTGCAGCAAACATGGCACCAGCTTTGATACCAGGAAAGGCTAGAGGGGCCCCGGGGACTGTGGCATGCTGAGGGGTCCTGGAGGCTGCACCAAACATGAGCTGTGGCTGCCGGACCCTCACAGCGGGGCTCATTCCCCCGGATGCCACTCTCTACTTCGATGTGGTCCTGCTGGATGTGTGGAACAAGGCAGACACCGTGCAGGTGAGCACCTTGCTGCACCCAGCCCACTGCCCCCGCATGGTCCAGGACAGCGACTTTGTCCGCTACCACTACAACGGCACACTGCTGGATGGCACTGCCTTTGACACCAGGTAAGGGCTGGAGGGAGTCCTGGGGCCCTGGGGGCTGTGGTATGATGGGGAGGGTGTCCGGGGCCCTTCCTGCCTCTCTCATCTCCAGCAACATCACCTCTGCCTCATTCTCTGCAGCTACAGCAGGGGTGGAACTTATGACACCTACGTCGGCTCCGGCTGGCTGATCAAGGGCATGGATCAGGGGCTGCTGGGCATGTGTCCTGGAGAGAGGAGGAAGATCATCATCCCTCCATTCCTGGCCTATGGCGAGAAAGGCTATGGTGAGGGCAGACAGGGACTCGGGGATTCCCCAGAAGAGGGCGGCCACATACAGTTGTTCAGGTTGTGTACTGCACAAGGGCACTCAGCCAAGGAGGCAAATCAGAGATGAAATCTATCTTGGTGATGATCTCACTAAGAAAGGGTGCTTTATTCTGATTCACACACACATTCGGTATGGGCTGGTGATGGTCTTGGGGAAGATCCAGCTCACACCTCATAGGGGGAGCAAGAAACAGGGCTGCTGAGGGTAGGGAAGGGTCTCTGGAGAGCAGAATTAGCACCTTTTTGCAGGGTGCTCACATGGGCCTTCCTGAGTGGAGAAGGAGCCCTGCTTTGCTCTCCACTTGTATGGTTCAAGCCTATCCCTTCCCCAGGGACTGTGATCCCCCCGCAGGCCTCCCTGGTCTTCCACGTGCTGCTGATTGACGTCCACAACCCCAAGGACACCGTCCAGCTGGAGACCCTGGAGCTACCTCCTGGCTGCGTCCGGAGAGCCGTGGCTGGAGACTTCATGCGTTACCACTACAACGGCTCGCTGATGGACGGCACCCTCTTTGATTCCAGGTCTGGGGGGCTCCTGAGGAGGGAAGGTGGGGGCTGGGAGGAAGGTGGAAGAGGCTGAGGCAGGATCTGGGGTCGCCTCCTGGCAGCAACCAGGGGGGATTGGCTCTGAGCTGCCAGGAAGGGCCAGGGGCCCCTTTGACCCCTTGCTGGCCCTCCCTGCCTTGTCTTACAGCTACTCCCGCAACCACACCTACAACACCTATGTGGGGCAGGGTTACATCATCCCCGGGATGGACCAGGGGCTGCAGGGTGCCTGCATGGGGGAGCGCCGGAGGATCACCATCCCCCCCCACCTGGCCTACGGGGAGAACGGGACTGGTAGGCGTGTCCCCTGTGCTCCCATTCACCTCCTCAACTCCTCTGCACACTGTTCACTGACCTCCCCACCGCAGGGCCATCCCAGCACCTGCTCTGCCCCTCTCATCACAAAAACCATCACCCACCCACCTCCTGCCACACAGACTCCGTACTTGCCTCCAGGAGCAGCCCCCCCCAACTTCTCCCTTCCATACTGGAGAAGGGCAACCGACTCCTGAGTTTGGGGAAGGGGGGTGGTCATGGAAGAACAGAAACAGCGTAGCCCTAGGAAGCAAAGAGACCTGGACTTGAGCCCCAGCTTTGCTGGAAGCCTTAGTGTCCTCACCTGTACAATGGGACTAATCCCATTGACCAGCAGGGTAAGTTGCTGGGAGGTTGCAAGATGATGTGTATAAAGGGCTTTCTAACTGGCCTGGCCCTTCCCTCCCCTGCCCCTCACCCGCCCCCCAAGAGGGTATTAGAACTGACCCTGGGGACAAATGCCCTGTCCCATCTTGCTTTGAAAACACAGAGCGGGGGAGTCTAGGGGGCTCTGTGGAGGACTGAGCAGCCCCTCCTAGATTCCAAGCCGATCTACTCTCTGTTCTGGCCCCAGGAGACAAGATCCCTGGCTCCGCTGTGCTGATCTTCGACGTCCACGTCATTGACTTCCACAACCCTGGGGATCCGGTGGAAATCAAGATTCTGTCCCCGCCCCCAGAGACCTGCAATGAGACGGCCAAACCCGGAGACTTTGTTCGCTACCACTACAACTGCTCCCTGCTGGATGGCACCAAGCTCTTCTCCTCGTGGGTCCGGGGCTGGGCCAGGGCTGGGCAGGTGGGTGGGCCCAGGTGCGGGGAGTCCTCCTAAGAGCCCCCCGACGGGTGCTTCGTCCATAAGTTCCCGTCCAGCGAGCATGGGGGAGCAGGAGGAGCTGAGGTTCTTGACTTGTGGGCACAGGGAAGGTGAAGCCAGCGTCTTGGGGAGCTGCGGGCTCCACTTGTGGAGGGGACACCAAAGCAGGGGCAGTGGCACCACGAGGAGGGCGTGCTGTCTCTGAACTGTTGGGCCCGGCCCTTGGCCGTGTGGGGCGGGCCCCAGGAGGAGTGACTGGGAAACTGGGCCTGCCGGGCGGGGCGGGGCGGGGGGGACAATGGGATGCCAGCTGGCCTGGGACAAGGATGGGCGCTGACCTGGGAATCTGCTCTCCCCCACCCCCAGCCACGACTACGGCGACCCCCAGGAGGCTACTCTGGGGGCCAACAAGGTGATCGAAGGCCTGGACACGGGCCTGCAGGGCATGTGCGTGGGAGAGAGGCGGCAGCTCGTGGTGCCCCCGCACCTGGCCCACGGAGAGAGCGGAGGTGAGGGGCCGACTGGCCTTGGTGGCTGGCGGGAGGGGTGCGGGAAGCCTTCCCAAGGGTTCTGCAAACATCCCATGTGCCCAACATGGGAAACGGAGGCCTCTGGGCTGGGGAGCACCCAGGGCAGGCTGTGAGTCGGGCCAGACCTGGGCCCGATGGCGAGGCCTTCCTTCCTTCTCTTCTCCCTCCCCGCCTGTAGCCCGGGGTGTCCCTGGTAGTGCGGTGCTCCTGTTTGCAGTGGAGCTGGTGTCCCGGGAAGAGGGGCTGCCCACAGGCTACCTGTTTGTGTGGCACGAGGACCCTCCTGCCGACCTGTTCGAAGGCCTGGACCTCAACAAGGATGGCGAGGTCCCCCTGGAGGAGGTGGGTGAGGAGTTGGGTCCTTTTAAGAACCGGTCCCCCACTGTCACCCCCAACAGGAGCCACCATGCATGGTGGCATCGAGCAACGCAGTCCTTCTGCCGTCCCGTCTGCACCTGTTTCTGCCCCTGTGCTGGGTCCCTGTGCCTTAGGTCCCTTGTCCCTGCCTCTTCCTCATGCAGCCCATTCCCCCCTACCGCTGGCTGGCTGCCGCCTGGGGCCCTTCCCCAGGCCACCCACAGCCGCTCAGGCAAGACCCTCACTCCCCTCTCCCCTCGGCTCTCTTGGCTCCCAGTTCTCCACCTTCATCAAGGCTCAAGTCAGTGAAGGCAAGGGACGCCTCATGCCTGGGCAGGACCCGGAGAAAACCATAGCAGACATGTTCCAGAACCAGGACCGCAACCAGGATGGCAAGATCACTGTGGAGGAGCTCAAGCTGAAGTCAGATGAAGACCAAGAGCGGGTCCACGAGGAGCTCTGAAGGCCAGGGGCCCGAGCCCAAATGCAAAGGCCCACTTCTGGGAGGACAGTGGGCAGTGGGGCTGACCTTCCAAGAGTCACCTTCCCCTGTGCTGGCATGATGTCGAGAAACATCTAGAACTTGGTCAGAGGAGACAACTCTGGTCTTCCCACCAGCCCCCGAGTAAAATCCACAGCACAGACCTCTATTCAGTTTTTCTCCTCTGACCCCAAACCCCTCCTTTACAAGTTTTGGAGTCACAAAGCCAAGCCAGCCATTGGCCGAGCCTAGGGGATGAACAGGGCAATTGCTGGTGCCTCACCTATACCTCCCCTCCACGTCACCAGACACTGAACAAGGCCGAGCTTGTCCTTTCTTTATTTCCCCAAACTTCCCTTTTGTCCATACTTTTTCTTGCTGTCCCCAGCCACCCTCCCTCCGGTCCCTATTCCTGTGTCGTGGCAGCTCCCCAGGAGCATGAACCAGGACTGACCGGACCCTCAGCCTTCTTCTCTCCGCTCTGTCTGGCTTCTGTCGCACCCCCCTCCCCTGTGTCCCCACACTATGCTGTCCACCCCTCACTCCGGCCAATAGTGGCTGAAGTGACCCTGGGGTGCCACATTTAGGGCTGGGCTTGGCGTTCCCTTTCATCCCTAAAGAAGGATGCTTTCTCTAAGGGATGGAGAAGAGGAAGAATATGAAGGGGGCAGCGGTGAGGATAACTACTTGGGTGGGTCTTGGGGCTACGAAATCCTTGGTTCTGGGTTGAGATAAACTTGGAAGAAGGGCTCGTGGGGGGTGAGGGGAGAGCTCCGCACACTCAAAAGGCTAAAGTGGTGTCAGATCCCTTTCTCCTTTGTACCAAATAAAAGACTAAGCCAAAGGCCTCAGGATGTGCTCTTCTGGGGGCAGGGGGAGGCCCTTAGACCAAGGACTGGGGAAGAAAGGGGAACAAAGCAGGCGCTCAAGATACTGTGTCCCCAGGTTTCCGCCTCGTGCCTCCTGAGGCCTAACCAGGGCCCTCCCCATGGAAAGGGAGCCCCCTATCTGCTGGAGGGAGGGTGGGGAGTGGGCGTCTACAGAGGGGCCTGTGGGGAGGTGTGGAGAGATGATCCCTGTCTCCTAACTATCCCAACTGAATGGAAAGATGAGGTCCCTGACCTCAAACATGACAGAAGAAACTCAAGGATTAAATTAAGCTGCACAGGTCGGATTCCTCTCCTCCATGTGGACTTGTTCCAATGCTAGGCTACCCCCACCTCTCCCTGCTCCTGGCTGCCAGCCATTACCTCCTGCCAGATCCTCCCTCCTGTCTGAAGGAAAGGTAACAGGGCTCCAATCTCCAGGGTCTTGAGGGAGGAGTTGCTTCAGCCAGCACCCACACAGCTGGACTCTGGCCAGGACAACAAAGATGACCTAAGCCAGGAGAGGACAGGAGAGCGGGGGAGCCTTGGGAGAGAGACTGATGGTCCGGGACTCCCCGAACTGACCCACCCCGCACGAGCACCCACTTCTTGCCCAGGATCCCAAGACACGGCTTTTCCCCATGGCCAGTCACGGACACTCCTGGCCCCTAAGCATCCCAAAGGCACCTCGGGGTCTGACAGTGGCTGTGGACTGGCCTCAGATGGTCACCACTCGCCCCCCAGAAGCGAACAGGCCAACTCAGAACCAGAGCCCGCGTGCAGGTGGAGGCGAGCAGCAGAAATGCAATGGCATTGGTCAGAAACACTGAAATCTGGCGCCAGCTCCTAGCTATGGCGTGGGAGCAAGTTTCTGGTCTTTTCCGAGCCACCTATAGACGAGAACTACACCTACCTTCAGGGCCCTAGTGAAGGAGGCACTGCCGTCCCCGTCAGAGCCGCAGGGAAACACATGTGCCACAGCCAGGCACCCTTTGCGGGAGGATGAGGGGTGTGTTTCTCTGAGGACAGGCTACAAAATGCCAGGGAAAACTGGTGCGTTTCCATTTTTTCTTCAAAAGGTGCCCTAGAGAGAATTCAGCTAGTTCTTGACCATCCAAGTCAACAGAGGAGGAAGAAGGAAAGAAACTGAAGGAAGCCCAGTGATGCAAGACGACAGAGCAGAAATCACTTCCACTTTACTGTGTCACCGAGTGCCTTCTCCCTTCATGTCCCGGTCTTGACTCCCCTGAAGTCACCCATCTTCGTGGCCCTGGGCCCACATGAGGAAGAGAAGACCCGGCAGGAGCCAATGGCACAAGAGAATATCTACACCCAAATGGATCCCTTTGGGGATCCATAAATAGGGAACTCTGCACACAGGGCTGGCCAGACCCAACTGACCCCAACTGAAGTTCAAGTTTAACAGCTACTTCAGCATCAAGTGAAACCATCCCAGGTCAGAAACGCACCTTTCAACCCCACCTGCCCACCTCGGTCCACAGACATATTTAGGACGTGCTCAGAGGGTCCTATGAGTGAATTCGGTGTTTTGTTTTTTTAAGATTTTATTTTCTAAGTAATCTCTACACCCAATGTGGGGCTTGAACTCATAAGCCAGAGATCAAGAGTCAAACACCCCACTGACTGAGCCAGCCAGCCCTGCACCCCCCAAATCAGAACAGCTGTTTTTTCCTTTTTTTATTTTGATCTGTTTCACACATTAGATTTGTTTGAAGACTAGTTTCCTGTGTTTAAAAACTGGGCGGTGGGGAGAACCCCTGGACTAGTTGGTCCCTAGAGTGCTAACACTCTGTAGGTCCCGTGTTCACCTGGCTGGCCCTCCCATCCGGCAGGGCCTCCCGCCAGCCTCTGGAGACCACCACAGAAGACGCTGGGAGAGGAGGAGGGAGACTGGGCTCGGCAGGTGCACCCCCCGGGGCTCCGTGCACACACACAAGTAGCAACGCTCCCCGCAGGGTGGCCTCCTGGTGAGGCTCCCCCCTCTCCACAGCCTGCAGCGCCTGGCCCCCTGCCCACGCTCAGGAGCCCTGCATCTCTCTCCAGTCCCCGCAGTGCAGGATGTGCTGCAGCACCCCGTTGACCACGTCCAGCGTCTCGTCCTTCTCCAGCACAATGTCGTAGGAGTCCATGTAGCGCTCCCGCCGCTCTTCCACCTGCCCGGGGAAGGGGGATAGAGTCCCCAGAATGCCCTGACTTCTGCCTCCACCTCTCAGGCACCCGGGGCAGGCGGAGGAGAACATTCGAGTTGCAACTCCCCAAGAGCGGCTCCAGGTTACAGGGACCCGCCCTTTGGATGGCAACAGGCACAGGGTGCCACCATTAACCCTTGGGTCAATGGCAAAAGGAAAGGACGAGAATTAAAATTTAAAAACCAGATGTTACTTCTAATCCATCTGGACTGAATTTTCACAAGGCTCAAGCATTCTGGAGGTCTTTAGCACCTGCTGGCTGGGGCGGGGCGGGGGGAGGGACTGGTAGCCTTCTAACTTGACACCATACTGTGCCCCTTTATGACTGGTGTTTTCACCCATTGGCCTCTGGTCTGTTCTTGTGTTTTCCTTCTCTGAATTGTAAACCCACCTCCTGAATACTAACATCTCCCACTTCAATCATGCCTTACAGGTATGATTGAGGAGGACTGTAATCAGCCCCACCACTTCCTACACTATGTACCATGGGTAGATGAACCTCCTTGCCTCAGTTTCCCTATCTGTAAATTGAGGCATAAGAAGCACCACCTCAAAAGGCTGCTGTAAGGACTAAATGGGTCGATATGCCTGGCACGTGGTGAGCACCCAAGAGTAAGTGTCTCTGAACTCTGCTGTGGCACCATGTGCCCAACACAGCCGTCATCACGGTGTCCCTATGAGAATATAGCTTGTGGCTCATCTCTGTGCCCTGGACACTGACCGCACCCGGCACATAGAGGTGTTCGCGAGGCATTTGTTAACAGGCAGCGAAACAAAAGCGCGCCACTAAGACAGGAAGCCCCGGTCCCACACCTACCTTGTCATTTAAGAAGCCAATCTTGAGAATGTTCTCCACACCAGGAACCCCATCAGCCATAGTGAGGTCCCCCATGGAGTCTCCCAGCAGGAGGATGTTGGTTTTGCCCTGAAGCTGCTGGAAGTACCCAGAGTTCTCACAAACGGAGCTGTTCTTGTTGTATGTGTGTATGAGCTGGCCCTTGAATCCCTGGAGGAAACCCTAAATAATCAAGAGACAGAAGGGCTGCAGAGACCATCCAGAGCCAGTGTCCCACTGTCTCTGTCACAGAGCAAAGGGAATCCCGACAGCCAGAGACATGCCAAAACCTCCTTGTAGTCTAAACTCGGGGCCGGCCAACTAGGTCCTGTAGCCAGATGTGGCCTATTTTTATAAATTCAGTTTGACCGGGACACAGCCAGCCTCATCTGTCACATTGTGTCCACGGTTGCTTTTTTTCCACAGCAGAGCTGAGTAGTTGTGACAGATCAGAGTCCATCCCACAACGTCTAAAATATCTACTACCTGGCCTTTTACAAAAAAGGCGTGTAACCCCTGATTTAAACTCACAAGGACTCTCAGACATCACTGATCAGCTACTCTGGTAGGAGCATGAAGCCGTGACGAGCACTACTCAGGCCACATGTGTGCTCACTCTCAGCGGCGGGCGCGGCCTCACCCCAGGTGAACAGAGAAATGCAGCCACTGGTGTGAGGGGAAGAAGTCAGAGTGTGGGTGAGTCGGAGCGGCCCACCTCTGGCTCCAGGAAGACAAGTCAAAGTCTAAGCCCTGGAGTACCTAGGAGGGCACATGACCTGGGATGGTGACACAGGGCCTGGCTGAACCCTAAATTAGGTACCCCAGGACACTGGGCTGTCAGTCAAACACCAAAGGGCGAGTCCTCCACAGGTAACTGTCTCTAGCATGCATGAAGAAATAAATAACTGCCCGAGGGCGAGAAGCTAGTACACTTTCCCTCCCTTTCCTCCCCAAGTCAGGCTTCAGGGTTTCGGGTGCTGCCTGAGGGGCTAGTGGTCCCCACCCCTCATCCACTCCCACCCTAGAGGAGATCCGGCTCACATCTTCATCAAAGTCCATGTAGTTTGACACGATGTGGATGTTGGGGTGGAACACTTTCATCTGTCGGATAATCTCCTCCAGGATGTCACCAATGCCCGCGGAAAAGATGAAAAGGGGAATGTTGTTCTGGTAGAGGGTGTTGAAGAACGTCTTGTATCCCTCCCTGAAAGCAGATGGATGGATTCCACAATGGCACTGCCTCTGCTCCTGGTCTTTATTTTCTATTGGGGTGAAGTATTTTTAAATTTTTTCTTTTTAAAGATTTATTTGGGGCACCCGGATGGCTCAGTGGGTTAAGTGTCTGCCTCCGGCTCAGGTCATGGTCCCAGGGTCCTGGGATCGAGCCCCACATCAGGCACCCTGCTCACTGGGGAGCCTGCTTCTCCCTCTGCCTCTCCCTTTGCTCCTGCTCTCTTTCTCTCCCTCTCCTGTCTCTCTCACATGCTCTCTTTCTTTCAAATAAATAAATAAATAAAATCTTTAAAAAAATAAAGATTTGTTTATTTGACAGAGAGAGTGTGTGGGTGGGGAGGGAGGGAGGGAGGGGCAGAGAGAGAGAGAGAGAGTCCTAAGCAGATTCCCCACTGAGCACAGAGCCCAACATGGGGCTCAATCTCAGGACCCTGAGATCACAACCTGAGCCAAAATCAAGAGTTGGAGGCTTAACCGACTGAGCCACCCAGTTGCCCCTAAATTTTTTCTTTTATTTCTTTCCTTTTTGTTTTTTAAGATCTTTTATTTATTTGAGAGAGAGAGCAAGCAGGGGGGGATTGAGGGAGAGGGAGAAGCAGCCTCCCCGCTCAGGAGGGAGCCCGACATGGGGCTCGATCCCAGAACCCTGGAATCATGACCTGAGCCGAAGGCAGACACCTAACCAACTGAGCCACCCAGGCGCAAAAAAAAAAAAAACACATTTTTTTTTTTTAAGATTTTATTTATTTATTTGACAGAGAGAGACACAGCGAGAGAGGGAACGCAAGCAGTGGGAGTGGCAGAGGGAGAAGGAGAAGCAGGCTTCCCGCTGAGCAGGGAGCCCGACGCGGGGCTTGATCCCAGGACCCTGGGATCATGACCTGAGCCGAAGGCAGACGCTTAACGACTGAGCCACACAGGCGCCCCTAAAAACATTTTAAATTGAGGTATAAAATACATACAATAAATGGTTAACATGCACTAATCTTAAGTGTTCAATTCAGTTAATATTTATATACGTATACACACATGTAATTACTAACCAGATCAAGGTTCCCTTCCCAACCAATGCCATTCCCCTCCTGTTGTGACTTCATATCACTGCTGATCAGCTTTGCCTATCCTTGAACTTCATATAAATGGGCTATTGTTTGCTTGTTTGTTTCTGCCTTATTTTGCTGGAGCAAAATACAACCAGGTAGCTATCTGGGGCAGCTTCACTGAGGAAACACTCCAACCCCACCCTGGTACTTACTGGGTCTGCACGCATCTCTACTTTCTTGGCTTTTCATGGCTCTCCCCAGTTACAACACCCAATCCTTGAGAGCAGTCAACCATGTTGCCTCCTTCCTCTATGTGACCTTATCCCTCCTCCAGTAAAGAATATGGCAGCAGAACCCTACGACCCAGCAATTGCACTACTGGGTATTTACCCCAAAGATACAAATGTAGTGATCTGAAGGGGTACCTGCACCCCAATGTTTAGAGCAGCAATGTCCACAATAGTCAAACTATGGAAAGAGCCCAGATGTCCATGGGCACCTGGGTTGCTCAGTTGGTTAAGCGACTGCCTTTGGCTCAGGTCATGATCCTGGAGTCCTGGGATCGAGTCCCGCATCAGGCTCCTTGCTCAGCGGGGAGTCTGCTTCTCCCTCTGACCCTCTTCCCTCTCGTGCTCTCTCTCTCTCATTCTCTCTCTCTCAAATAAATAAATAAAATCTTT